TACATTCAGTGTCAGGGTCAGCCCTTGCTGTGGTCCTTCTGTGTCCCTTCCCCGTTTGACCAGCAGGCATTGCTGGTCATCCCGTTCTCATGTTAGTCTTTGTTCTCCCCTGTTACCTATCTGGTCATGTGGCTCAATGTGTTGAGCATGTGGTTGTCTGTATACCCTTCTGTCCTGTGTTTGAATCCCACCTCCTGTTTTTGTATTTTGGCTCCCTAGTGTTTCATTTGAGTTTCTTTAGTTCTTGTATCTGATTTTGTAGTTGGTTTTGGTTTTGTTCCTTGTGCCCCTGCTTGTGTCTTTTACCTGTTTAATTCCCTAGTGTTGGTTTATGTTTCCTTGGTTAGTTCTTAGTTTCCCTGTTTTTAGTTCCTTTGAGTTATTAATTTCACCTGTGCCCTGTTTCCCTGGTCCTTGTTATTTAGTCTCACCTGTCCTGTCTTAGTCTCGTTACCCCTTTAGTATTTTAGTTCCTGCTTCTGTTCAGTTCCCCAGTGGTTCATTGTTGTTGACTGTGTAAGGTGCTTGTTGTTTGATGGTTTTGAGATTTTCAGTGTTCAATGTGTATTCAGGTTTTGTTATTTAGTTTTTGTTAATCCCTTTTTAGTTTTGACCCCTTGTGGTCCTTTTGGTTTTCTTGTGTTTTCTGTTTTGTTTAATAAACCCTGTTTTGTTTTCCTGGAGCCGCAAGTGGGTCGTCCATCCTTTTTTTGTGCACCATGCCTCGTTCCCGTGCCCAAACCGTCCGGAACCGTGACATTCAGCCAATAAAGGCATCAGATACATTGTCATCATACTGATGAATGATGAACTTTCATTATGTTTTAATGTGTAGACTTTAATAATTAAATATCAGTGCCCTGGAGAAACCATGCTGTGAAGAGTACATAAAAATAAATAAAAATAAAACTGATTTTAATACAAGTGTTTATCCAGGACACAGGCTGAGTCCAGTATTGTAAGGATTTGTGACTTGACAAAAACTCACCAGAATGAGACCAGCGCAGCAAGGGACATGACTGGTAGAAGCTGCTCTTTTCTGAGAACTCGACAGCTTCCTTTTAAGGGAAAGAGTGTATAATCCTGTATAACTTCATTTTACTGAAACTGGCTGTGTGGCACTTTGACATCCCATAACTCCAGGAACACAGGATTGTAACCAATTAGTCTGTCTGCAGATCTAACAGCATTTTCCCATAGATTTCACCTGAAATCAGCTTATCATTATTGCATCATCCTATAGTCCCACATGTCAATATTGTCACAACAACACCTTCCTACTTTACACTATAATAATTTGTAAATGTTGCCTTGCCAGCTGTTTTCTTCAGTCTGTATTTTACATTTATATAACCTTATATCATTTATTTATATCCCCTCGTGTAAATACTACCTCATAAGCACCTTATACTATTTGCACTTCTGTTTAGATGCAAAATTGCATTTCGTAATACTTCAGCATGTGCCATGTGCAANAGTTCAGTTTCAGAATCTTATAAATATCATTTAATAAAATTCACAGCCAGGACATCATGCCTGTATGTTCATGTGCAGCAGCTGCAAAGTGTCTGGCCCATGTGTTATTTTCAGCAGACCTTTGTATCTCTAGATGCTATCAGATCTCCAGCATGCGTCTCTTTAATAGGCAAAAGGGTGAACAACCAACCGCAATTTGCCACATTTCGGCCACAATGTTGACTAAGCCCATCCAGAAAGGGCTGGCATTTCACGGGAGAATGTTCTGGTACAGAGCTGAGTCAAACTCAAATGCAGGCAAGTATATCCAACACAGCCACTACCATGTTTGACCCCAGCACCCTGGGGGAATGAATGTAAGTTTGATCTTTGACTCATCTGTCCAAAGAGCACTGGTCCAGGACTATTGAGGATCAGGCTGGTAGTTTTTCAACATGGGACAACTTTTTTGCCATGTCATAAAATGCAAGTCTGACTACTCTGCACGGCAAACAAAACTAAACAAACACTTAAATCTGCACTACCTCATTCCCAGACACCATCTATATGGTTTAATCCATAGAAAGACAAAAATAAATATGGAAAATGGCAAAGATGCTAAAAATACTGGGGATGGGGACTCCATGGGATGAGGGATCACAGCGCCACCTACCTGTACACAAGAAAGATGCAGGAAAGAAGGAAGGACAGAGAGATGTTTAGGAAGTAGACCAGGGGGGCATTTTCATATGTTGCCCCACAGTCGCTGGGGGCCGATGTGCAGCTCTCACGCAGCGTGGAGTTGGTGTAGTAGCTGTAGAACATGGTCGAGTTTGCAAAGCTACCCTACCAAAGCAAAAATGGGTAAGGGACTGGTGAGTAAGGAAGTAGGTATGGTGCAGCTGCGCGAAAGATTCCAAAAGGGTGCCAGCAAATCCATCAACTCAGCAGTACTGTACAAAACATGATAATTTTAAGTATCTAGGACTATTAATCAAAATGAGGTTACACTAGTGTTAGTGACGAGTTTTGACAGTCAACTTCAGTGTGAAGATGTGAGTTTGTGAACGTCCTGACAAGCACACGTGCATGTCTGCGTAGGGGGGGTGTTGTGCTGCCTTAAAGGGACACGCTGTATAGGCATCTAAAAGAAACACATTTTACTGCCCTGTAAGGAGGGACACGTGTTGTCAGAAGAGAGGAAAAGATCCTCCACATACTTTTGTAAGACAACAAAGTGCTATAAAAATCACTACAGAATTTTAAAAAATACATTAAAATATCCTACAAGTATACCATCCATTATCCTCCATCTGTCCATCCATCCATTATCATCCATCTGTCCATCCATCCATTATCATCCATCTGTCCATCCATCCATTATCATCCATCTGTCCATCCATCCTTCAATTGTTTATGCAATAGAAGATCACAGGATTTTTCCCATTTTATGTTGATTGACCTACATTTAAAAATTTAAAGTAATTGTACACTTAAAAAACGTGTAAAGGGAACACCTCACAGACACAACTATACAGATCATGCATGAGACTGAATGTGCATGTATATACATTTCTTAAGATAAAAAACTAAAAGGCAGATCATGTGGGCGTGTCCCTTTTAGTAAAAAACCTACTGATGTTTTTCAAGCATCAAAAGTATTTTGCTTGTCATCAGTTGTTTGTTTTCAAATTTTGTTGGGGAGGATTTTAGAGTCATGTTTTGCAATCTAGCATTTAATGTGCAGTCTGTACAATGGAAGATACAATGGAACAGGTTCCTCAATCCTTACCATACCAGTGAGCATCTCCAGGCCTGTGAAGTTACTGGAAGATGGCAGAGGGGCGTAAATGGCCTGGGGCAGGGTCAGGAAGACCCCGGTGGTCAGTAAGAGGACAACATTGAAGAACAGTAGAGTCTTCAGGAAGGTAAAGTAAGATAGGACACCGGTGCCGAAACGGCCAGACACATCCGTGAATGCCGCATGCCACAGGCGGGAGGAGTCCAGCACCCACTGCCAGTTATGCTTGGTCTGCTGCAGAGGTCAAAGGTCACATAGCATCTACATTCAGCCAATAAAGGCATCAGATACATTGTCATCATACTGATGAATGATGAACTTTCATTATGTTTTAATGTGTAGACTTTAATAATTAAATATCAGCGCCCTGGAGAAACCATGCTGTGAAGAGTACATAAAAATAAATAAAAATAAAACTGATTTTAATACAAGTGTTTATCCAGGACACAGGCTGAGTCCAGTATTGTGAGGATTTGTGACTTGACAAAAACTCACCAGAATGAGACCAGCGCAGCAAGGGACATGACTGGTAGAAGCTGCTCTTTTCTGAGAACTCGACAGCTTCCTTTTAAGGGAAAGAGTGTTGAGTTTCTAAAGAGAAAATCCTCACTAGAAAAACAGGCGTTCGTTGTTAGTGAGAAAACCGGAGGACAGGAGCAGGGACAGGGGGTTAGTGACAGAGAGGAGGTGTCCACACAGCCGAAGGACAGGAGCAGGGACAGATGAGGCCAATGTGACCAGATTCACAGAATCCGATGGAGGAGCAGCATTTAACAGGACCCACCTGACCTCCCGCTTCTTGGCTATGCTCAGGGGAACAGTCCTCAGCATCCGCATGAGCTCCCCAGATGGTAGAGCCCGGAGGTCTCTCACAAGCTGCTCTGTAAAGGACACGTGCAGCTCGGTGTCTGAGGGACTTCCACAGGCCATTTCACGGCATAACAAGAGAACAGCGCCACCCACTGGCTGGTGGGCTTCCATATTAATCATACAGATTTACTCTAAATGTCTTTCTGCATGAAGAACAAGGAAGCACATTCTTCTTAGTAACGGGGTTCCTGTGGAGGTCAGGTAGGGCTGGACAGTGAGACAGTGGCTGGACATCCAGCTTGGCTGCTGAGAAGCTAATGCACTCACCCCAACAGTTAAGCCCGTGGCCAACAGCCAGCTCGGATCTTCCTACCAAGTACCAAGTACTTTAGTCTAATAATCATGTTGTTCAGCTATCAGGAGGCCACCAAAAGTGTAAGCAACCATGACCCATGACTAAGGATCATCTGAATGAAGAACCATGTCAGGCGGAGGCTTGGATGGTCTATATTTTTTCATACTGTCATACCTTCCAGACATTTCACCCCTGTATGAGGTCTATGAAGTTATTTAAGAAAATAAAAACATGTCATGTAGGCAACTGTAAACTGCAGAGTCAGAGATAGCAGAGCGAGTCTAAAAAGACTCATCAGTGTGTGAGTTGAGCACCAGGGAAAAGAAGAGACTCGTTGAAGAGTTAACAGAGTTAAAAGTCGCCCTTTGTCCAGTCACTGCCCGATCTATGCGCACTAATTTTCACGAACGCCACACGTGCTCCGGCAGTTTACAACGCATTCACGGCACATTTTGTTTTTATGTCATTTACCTACATGTGCAGCCTATCGTCGACTTTTTCTTAACTTAAATGAGGCTCCAATCACTGCTAACACTGTGCATAACAACACATGGCCTCAATACAGCATCTCCCTGTCAGTTTCACAGAAAGAAGAGCGTCTCTATTTTCTATGATGTAAAAAAAAACAATCTTCAGGATTTCAAAATGGCGGGGTGTATTGTCATACCGTCCCAGCTAGTCAGGTGGGAGGGGCAAAGGCTGGAGATTTACCATTCTGCCTGATGTTTATGTTGGTCTGGGTGCTGTAGCCACGGATACTGGGTCGGCAGGACCGCGAGACATCTCGTGCGGCAGACAGGCTCTGGCTGGTGTGGTGAGGCCGCACACCACGACCAAGGTACTCGGCAATGATGGCGACTTCACTATAGCCTGGAATAATGGGGGGAGGGGCTGCATTAGGAGGTACTTCACTGATGGAGTGTATAATCTAACCCCATCCCTAAACTCAGACTTCCTCTCTCTGGATTATCCATGGGCACGATCAGATGTGGAGAGTTCAGGTCCGGAGAGTACAAATCCAGACCGAGATTTTGTTTCAACCAACCAGTGGCATTCAGAGAGTAGTGAACCTTGTGCATCTAGTGATCCTTTGATGCACCCCTCTATCCACAACATAAAAACAATACTCATCCTAGAATGACATATTTCTTTATGTTAATAATGGGGAATCAGTTGGTGCAGTTCAAACGCTTGCGTTACAAACTTTTGAGGACCCCTGAGAGAGCAAGATCAAAGACAAAGAACGCACAGGAAACATGGTCAGATACCACACTGCAACCGGTACCATTCATTATATTTGTGTGCTTCCTATAAATACAGCGGGTGGAGCAGAAGTTAAAGATCTATATTTGCAATCAGAAACGTCCCCTGGTTTGCAAGAGCTAAGCTGATTTTCACAGCTAAATAAATTGCATGTTCCCAGATGCTCTGGAGGAGAAATTTTGCGAGATTAGATCATCAGAATGGAGCCACTTCAGCCCACCTGTGATCACGTTTGCATTTTGCATCACACACAGAATCATGGTCTCACTAATAGTGCGGCTGGGTAGTGATGACAGCATTCCTGAGCTTAACTCCCGTACACCATAGTCTCCCTGGCTCCTGCTAGGTCCTCGTCCTTCTTCAGGCCTGGTCCTCGGATCACCTGGGACATCTGCTTCATAATGGCCTACAGTCACATGGTGCAGGACACCGTCACTGATTACTGCTGAAATGGCTATACAATTTGTTGAATTACTGTTGCAAAATCTGTGCCAAAAAGTCCCAGTATACCTGCTATGTTGAAGGAAAGGTCTTCCATCTCCAGTGTCTCTCCCCCCTTGTCTGAGATATACCTCTGATCCCCCATCAGCGGGGCTAACGAGTCTTCAGGCAAACCCTCATCCCCCGTGCATCTGTCAGACAGTCAGAGAATTTATCTGATTAAGCTCCAGCAAACAACAGTACTGTGGCTTAATAATATTCTTCACAATCACAAGAGAGATCTTTGTCTATAGCCTCCATACATCACTGTTGATCATTCATTCACTTACACATCATCACAAACCAAAGGACCTGAACCACCACATGTGGCTGAATAAGAGGGTTATGAAAGCAGATACGGGAAAATTCAGATCATTCAGGACATTGTCATCTGTCACAGTCCGAAGA